CGCCTCGCGGTGCTTCTCAGCCTGCGCCGCCTCGCGGTGCTTCTCAGCCTGCGGAGGAAGGTGGACAGACGCCTGGTTCTGGCGCTGTGCAGCCTGCGTCTTTCACGGTCGCCTCGTTCAATTTCGGGTTCGAGCAGGGCATGATGACTGGTAAGCAGGCGGCCACTCACTGCGCTAACTTCGGAAGGTTGTGCGCCAAGATAGTGGAGACCGCTGATGCTGATATGGTCTGTGGCTGCGAGGTCGGTGCGTTCCGTGAAGGCTTTCGCCGAGCAGGGATCAACGTGACAGAGATCCTCAGTAAGCCTTTCGGTGATGGCATTCGCTTCTTGGAGGTCGACAACTACTTGACTCTCTGGGGGTTCCGCGGTGCTTCTCAGCCTGCGGAACTGACTCTGTGCGAAGACAGCAAAGTTTACAGGCCTCCTAGCGGCCGAGATATTGATGCTGTTATTTCACATTTTGAGGTGAACAAACCAGGCCATGACAAGTTCCACGTGGTGATCGCCAACATGCACATCGTGTGCGGCAAGAAACCGCCGAGCATCCAGACTCGAAAGCGGACAGTTCGCCATCTCCGCTTGCACCTGGACGGCCTGGCCAAGATTCTTGAGAATCTAAACGAGGCAGTCGTTGTGCTTGTAGTCGGCGACGACAACCTCACTTTCCAGGAGGCGCGGGAGGCTTACCAGCGCGAGCAGAACGACGAGAAGGTATGGGAGGTCCATGCCACTCCGGCCGACCTCAAAGGCGACCACGTCGCGGTCTGCGGAGCAGTCGCCCGTTTCTGCTCCATTGCCGTTGGCGCGTCTTTTACGGATCGTGGCATGCGCAACGACGCACACGATGCGGTGGCGGTTGTGCTCACTCTCCCTGGTGCTATTCAGCCTGGGGAGAGCAAGAGGCGGAAAATTGTCGTCGAAAACGTCTCCGACGCCGACGTCAGCGTACAGGCGGACCGCGAGTCTTCTGTGCATTGGGATCGGTCGCCGAGTTCTGCTCCTCCGCTTTCACCGACTTCACCGGGTGATCCCGACTACGTCGAGGATGTCGTTCAGAATCGCGCGGACGACTTGCACAGGGAGCTGAGGCAGCTTTGGGACGACAGGTACGACGAGGAGTACGATCCGAAAGTCCTCCATCATCTCAGTCTCTTGCTTTTCAAAAAGAGGAAGTCCACGGAGCCAGCGGACACTGATCCAGCTGGCGCTCCTCAGCCTGGCTCGGAATATGACACGGCCTTTGCGTCTCAGGAGGAGACTGGCCGAGCCATTCTCTCTGTCCTTAAGCTTCGACATGACTTTCTGCGGAGCAAGAACATCGACGACATGCGCTACGTTCTCACGGAGCCTGAGCGCCAGGAATTGGTCAGAGTAGCTCGCGACCAGTACGAGCAGTCGCGGCAGCAGCGTGCGCTTCAGGAACGGGATATCGAAAAGGGAAAAGCGAAAGGCAAGTCTGCGCCACAAGGGGGCCATGCGGTTCCGCAGGGTCCGAACAAAGGGCCAGGCGGTAAGAAAGGTTCTCACGGTGCTTCTCAGCCTGCGGGAAAAGGTGGCCAGGCCAAGGGTGCAGGTCTGGGTAGCGTCGCCAAGTTTGTGAAAGACCAGAAGCGTAAGCGGTGGCATCGCCATTTGCAACGTGTGGCCGGTACTAAACAGATCTGGGAGGTGCTGGCCTTCTCAGGGCGCTTCGACGTTGATTGGTTAACGCAAGCGTTGCAAGCTGATCACAGTGAGGGCCGTGATGCAGCAGTTCCCGAGGAAGCTCTGCGGCAACAGCGGCGCCGGCTGCACCACCAGAAGGCCGAGGCCATCGCGCGCTACAACGAGGGGGAGCGGCTTTCCCTCCATCTGTCTGCCCAGGCTGGCCAGGCAAAGCCGAACTTCACGCGCAGGCAGCAGGACGTGTTGCAGATGTTTGAGAGCGGAGCGCTGCTTCAAATCCGCAACCAAGCGATTCTGGCGTGCGGGCACGGCCGTCTGTTCAGGGGCGATGGCGACTACCTGGACATCGGCGGCAGCACGGGCGGTGGCTCCAGGCGCATCATCGATTCTTGGCAGCCGCCGGACTGGCGTGACTTCCTCCAAGACGATCAGGACATCTGAGTTTTGCAAGTCTCTCTGCCCGCGGTGCTTCTCAGCCTGCGGTCTGCCGCTCTCCAGCTGCGGTCTCGAGCAGTAGTGTTCGAAAGCATGCGAGTTCCTGCGGTGCTTCTCAGCCTGCAGGTTTCGCAGCCTGCGCTCTGCAGTACAAGTGCTTTTCAGCATGCGACATCCTGCGGTGCTTCTCAGCCTGCAGGGTTCGCAACGTGCGGTTTGCAATGCATTCCTTTTCAGTATGCGAGTTCCTGCGGTGTTTCTCAGGCTGCAGGGCTCCGAGGCTCTTCGCTTCGATGCCAATGTTTTCAGACACCGTAGCTCCGTTCCGTAAACGTCTTCCAAGAGCCGCTCGCAACCTTTTGCAGCTGGCTGTCTGCACGCTTCGCCGGCTTTTGCTG